CTCATACTAGTACAATCGAAGAGGGTACTGATGAAACCAGCTTTGGTGGCATGAATCTTAACGATGAACTTTTACAATCAACCGTTAATGATTATTACGAAACCTTTAAAGATGTTAGCCCAATTGGTCGTGACTATTCAAAGTTTGAATTACATGGTAAAGGAACATTGCGACTTTTTATTGCGGCTATTAATCTTATGAATTCTCGTACTCGTATGCCTCTAGCCTTGTCTTCGATAGCTGCTAAACACAGTATCAGCACTGTTTGTGATGAATTAAGTTTTGTCGACTACTCACGAGAAAAGCTATTCGCCAAACTACTTTTCGCAAAGACTACTAAGGTTCTTCGGAATAAATTTGGAAGAAAGCTCAGAGCTGGCCTCGGACGGTCTCGAGGAAATCTTTGATACCTACTACGATAATTCAACGTTACGGGTACCATCCTTGGAGTTCAGTATTAGTGAATTACGAGGCCTTGACAAGGCAATGCAAACAATGCGGGTTGAACTCATCGACAAGCATATAGCTTATGAGAAAGCAAAACTTGAGCAGGCGGGTGATGAATTCAGTAGATACTGCGTTGCAGAAAGATTGCGCAGCTCTGAAGACGAAAGATCAGCCCGCCTCGAGGCAGCTTCCAATAATAAAAAGGCACTTCGTTCACAAATCAGTCGAATTTGAGAAACTATTGATCAAGTCCTCAATGATGACACTACACTGGCCGATAAAATTAAAACATTGTTCAGAGAACAGGGGATAACAATTACTAGTATTTTAACCGCGTTGGGATTTATTATATCGACTTTGACTCTCGCGTTAACCTGTGGCAGCGGACCACCCACACCACCTACTGATAAAAACGGTGTGAAAGAGTGGATAAAAAGACATTTGAAAGCATTAGGTTCAGCACTGGGAAAGCTCTCTGGGAAAGCCGCGTCTGTACTTCCCAGTATAATAGGGAGTATTGTTTCCTGGCTCTTGAATTTATTAGCTAAGACCACCACTTGGCTTAGTCAAAACTTGTGGGCACTGATCGTAGAAATTGCAGGGCTGTTGTACGTATCCGCTAAAGACTATTTATCGAAATCAGTTCATTAAGAACTATTTAACCAAATCATGAGTAAACCAGCCGTGACTCCACCTACTATAAGAGCTGCTTTTTCATCGTTATATTGGTGATTTTTAGCTGCAATATGTGGTGGCACATGTGGTTTTGCGGTTGTGGTTGCGGTTGTGAAACATGTGGTGTCTGTGGCTTGACTATTCCCGTTTCACCCGTGTTTGTTTGCGTTATTAAATCGGTGTTAATATCTGAATTTATACCTGGTTTTTGTTGATCGGAAGCAATGACAATTTTATTATTATAGCCTATCACTTGACAAATCTTAAGTTCCATATTACTCAGAGACATGTATAGTCCCGGTGAATAAACGTAATTTACTTTGGATTGAGTGTACTGTAATACATCTTGATAACGTTTTATAGAGTATGGAATGTCAACTGGTGAATTATGGCATCCTCCACGATTGCAACAAACTGTTTTTGTGCATGGAGCGCCGTCCCAGAACCAATGATTCTCGTTAGTGTTTGCGATTGTGCACCAAGAATTGCCCATGTATAAGTTCTTATTGATTCATTAACTCTTACAACTCCTGGGTGAGTAAAATTATTTTCTGTTTTATCATTAAGAAATTCATTCCAAGCATTTCCTGGTGGTTGCTCAACCTTTTGGACGGTGAAAGCAACACCACCCTTAAAGTTCATACGATCATCTCTCCACTCATTACTTGAGAGAGCAAAGCTCGGAAGAAGCCGACCTCTTTTCAGTAAATCATCGCTGACTTCTTTAACAGCGTGTGCACCAGCGTACGGAATACCTAGACCATGGTTAACTGCACTCAGACGCCAATCTTTACTCGTAGAAACATTAAATTCCTGACAAATACGTTCGTATACACACATATTGTACGGATTATTTGATGCATTTCTTGCTCGATCCTGCGTTAATGGGGCACTAATTTTTTTAGGTTTTCGTCTAATCTGATAGTACACGTGAAATGATAAAACAGACTTATTTAGTTCAAATCCTGGGGCATAAAGAGATACACCACATCCTGTTGTTGCACACCATATGACAAAGTTTAACTGGTTCTGCCAAAATTGTGAAACCAATCTTGCACCATTTTATCGCTAGTTGCCGTGACACTGTATTTTTCAAAGATATCAGGGAATTTAACACACACAAAATAGCACCAGAGGCACTTACTAAAAACGACTGATAGTAATGTAAGTTGATTTCATATTCAAGTTATGATATAGTATCATTGTATATTTAATATGTATGTTACACTCCCAGGAATAACAAATGGTAAGTCTATTGAACTACTTCATACTATCGATAACTTGGATGATCAACTTGAAGTCAACCTCTGTGATGTAACGTAATACCCACGGTGGATCAATATAGGTGATGTGAGAAGAAATAATGAGATATTTATAACTGAAAACAGTGCTACTGACAAATACCATTGGGGGATTTAAATTGCCCGATTTAGTTCGCTATAAAGAGTTGTGCATCCATCTTTATCAGATAAGTAAGACTGATAATATTCAACTTGAAAGTCCTTCAACTCTACTCAGAGCTATTCCAGTCAAAGATGAAAAATATAATAGCGTTAGAATGGAATCTTTCTCATCATTACAATATAAAAATTAAAGAGGGGTTTATTTCAGACCTCAAAATTTCTGCGTTAGATTTAAAACATCAATCTGTACATATAGGATACTTGAGTGTAACACTCCATATTATAAATAATGGTTGATTCATCAGGCCCTGGAACACTCAGACAATGTAATACAATTGCGCTTTCCGATCTCGGAGACACAGAAGGATTCGGTAAACCCGGTACCCATGGTAGGTTATATGCTTTACACTTACAAGATAATGTATACAAGCGGAAAGAAGTTACATTCAGGGGTTACCTAGGAGATTTAAGCGATGTCGACGTTAGTAGACTCAATAAAAACACTTCGTACAATCTTACTCGCAAACGATGATAATAAATGGACTATGATCAAAGCAAAAATCGATTCGCTACTGAATATCATCATTACCCCACCGTATGTGATGACGGGTAAGGCACATAATTTAAATAAGATGATAAATAGTGGGGTCGTACTCGGGGCTTATATCCCAGCAAAAGGAAAAAGTGTGTTAGTCTCTCCCCTGCCAGAAAACTAAGGTTATATGTTATTTAGTCGTCCAGCAGTAAAAAATGTTTGTTTAAATTTGGTTACTGAATTCAATGGTATTAAAGATAACTTGAGTGCGATACCTGATCTTTCTACGCTTATTATTGAAGTCTTGTTCGGAGATGCACCAGAAGATGCCTTCGAAATATTACAAGGTCTATCAATTAAATTGCTAAAGAAACACCAACGTCAACGTTGCAGTATTATATGGGAGCATTACCCATTGCAACCCTTGAGGGGGGTCCAAATTATTAAAAGTGACAGCGTTTCTCTTACTAAGATATTCATGCCGTATAACATACATTTAATAAGGTTGATGTATACTCTCAAAACATTGAAGCAAGACCAATTAAAGACTATTATATGATATAATCACATACACTATGGGTTTATATCCAGCGCTCAATGAGAAGATGGATACTGTTGATTGTTTTAAATTACATCAAATAAGCAACATAAACCATCGAATATAGAAGGAGAGGGAGTTGAGACTTGGACTGTATAAAAAGTATCGCAGAGCCGTGAATGCTCTCGACGGAGTTGACACCGCACTTGTAACAGCTGGCATGGGACTTGGTGTAGCTGGTGTTGGTTTATTATCAACTATAATCGCCGTGCCTATCGTACTTTGCATGGAAATAGCAGCTGGAGTCTCAGGACTGGCAGGAATAGCAAAAAAATTCATTTCTCGTAATTTACAAAAGAGAGCATTAAAACATGATAATATTCGGATACTCGCTGAAGCAAAAGTTGAACAGCGATGAGGATCATATTTCAACAGCAATGGCTAATTGTAAGATATTCGAGGAGGAATTTCATTTAGTTTTGTCAGAACTCACCAAATACAACGCAATGAAGCAGGAAATTCGATCAAATTCTCGTAAGACCAGTGATATTAGCGAAGATCAGAAAAAAAATTTCATAGAACAGGGGAGACAACAAGCATGACAATTATTCCGTGCCAAAACCAAAGAACTGGTTGGAGATTAAAAATAGATTGCTTACTATCATTAGATCACATTTAAACGAATGCTTACATAAGTATATAATAACAGAGGATTACATACCAACAAAGGAAGAACTCGAAAAAGCTACCAAAGCATTTATGCTCAGGGACAAAACTGTCAAATGGAGAGAATTACCACAAGGCATATATTATATCAGTGATGTCAAACCAACCAAATACGGTCATCAATTGTTTCTTTCCAATTACCAAGAAGAGTATATAGTCTGGTCTCCTAGTAAAATGAATGAAGAACTTAGTAAAAATGTTGAATATCACTTTGTTAAAAATAATGGTATACGTATCAATAAATATAATAGAGAGTATTTTCATTACAATTTAGTTTAGTCTCATCATCGTTTCTGTACTAATGGTATCATTGATTGGCTCCAGGTAGTGGTGAGCTAGAGCCAATTTAACTTAATATCATGACGATCGTTGAATCGCATCAGCGTTTTTGCATAAAAAAATCCCCCTGTAGTGGTGGTATAGGTATATAAATCTGGCTCCAGTGGATGTGGTCCAGAATCCCCATTACCTATACTACTACTTCTAACAAGTGTATGCAATGTTAATGCTGAGTTGAATCCACAAATTATATTGTGCATTTTGATTTATTTGTATGAATTCAAATTCAATAGCTGTTCAATCAGTGCTTATGTTGAACCAAGCACAAATACGAATATGTTTTTTTACTAAACGATCAGTATTGTTTATTATATTATAATGGTACAAGTTGACTTACTTCTGGAGCAGTCTATTTCTGTCCATCCATCTTCACACCCACCAAGACACTGTCCTGTCACTCTGTCACATGTAGAGGAGGGTGTCTTGCAGTGTCGGGAATTGCAGTTGCTGGCACAGTTAAGGCCGTACATCATACTGGTACACGCTGAATAAGGCAAAAGTGAAACTGGTGTAAGTTTGTAAGTATTTCATAGAGAGTTCTAATAGCTGCAGATATGATTTAAACTATAACATCAAGGGGCCATCAAGTATTGGTGCAGGCTACTGCGTCTGGACGAGCACAGACTGCCTCGCCAATGCTATTTAATGCTCAGATCACAAGACCATTCTGGTCGCACCACATGGGTTACTCACATTAAGAACATCTTGTTTTAATCAGGTTTTGGTTAACACAAGAAGTTGGCAATGTGAAGATATTTTTTCATCTTTTAAAGCAAAGATCATTTGATAACCTTCAGCAATCAAGGTGTAGTTCTATCAATAGTATATCTGATACCTTTTATTATGAACATTTTAAATTCCTGTTAAATGAAGAAAAAATATCTTACACTCCCCATACCAGTACATCTGAGAATATGTATGACTCGTTTCAGATGTAGCAAGTTTATACTTGCAGTTGACTTGGGGAGATACACAAATGTACCATACACTGAACGATTATGTACATATTGTATAGGAAAATGGTATATCTTTTATTGAAGATGAATTCCATGTTTTACTTGTATAGGGCGTTATTCTAAGAAATATGTATCTTAAACAGTATATCAAATTTCAAACTGTAACATCTTTTACTGAAATTATTTCATCAGAAAACTTTGATGTTGTACATAACACATGTTTATATCTATATCAAGTCCAATGGCTAAGAGAACTTAAATCGATTTCTTCATTGGTATGCATAGTTAATGCAATCAACCATTGTCTGTATTATGGGCCTATGGCCTTCTTACTGAATAAACTGTCTGTCTGTCTGTCTCTTAGCTGCAGATATGATTTAATTTATAACATCTGTAATTTAAATTATATCCTTAAACAAACTGCCAATCATTTTGGAACATAATATCATAATTCACGTTAATGGAATTATTTAGAGGTTCCAATATTGTTCGACGTAACGCAGCTGTTTACAGCTCGTCGCAAATTGCTGCGTTTTGGCGATGCTGCAAGCGTAAAATGATTTCATTGATGAAACTTTCACTGCTAAAGAAGCATGATAATCTTTCTCATATGGATATAAAAAGGTGACCATGGCACAATAGGTCATCAGTGAACAGTAAAACGCCCAAGAAGGCGACAACATCGCCCGCTTTACATCGAGGGAGAGCAATTTGTGTTTTGAACTTGGGGACAATAATCAACTGTACGAAGATCATTAGATTCATGCGGCGAGACAGAGTGACTGGAAGGACTGCAGGCACGTCATGATGTGGAAGGCTACTTCACAACCATGGAAGACTGCTGTCGCCTCACCTTGCACCAAGGTAAACATGTTCCTCAATATAAAATTATCTTATGTGACTGCTCTTGGGCGTACCAGTTGTTTCGTGGTTGTTCAACACCCCACTCAGCCACATTATAGCCATACGACAGCGGTTTGTAAATATTCAAGTCTGGACCAGACAATCCAGTGACTGACATGGTCATGAGCATCGACGAACGTCATAGGGACACGATCACGAAGCAGCATCGACTTCCGCGTTTGCGTCTGGCACGTAGAGTTCCAGTTTGCCAACGTAGGAACTAGCAACGTGCGTTCTTTCTGGATCTGCTGATGTGGCCAGATAATCCGGCGGCGTGCCAATCTCCCAGTAAAAAGAGGTCAGATTGTACAGGCACAGAGAAAGGAATAGGGGACAATTACTGATGGCGTCATGAAACGCCTAACGATCCTTGTCCGACGTCGTGAGTACGCATGCATATCTGGACATAGAGGACAAACACGCTACTGAATCATTGATATTCATTAAATGACAGACATTATCGTGTTTATTCACGCTTCTTCCTGAGTGTTGTTTTGTAAATTCCCCCATGTTTATGAACCGCGATGTTTCCATTTGATTATTGTATATAGCAGCACTTCTATCTCGTCAAATGACTATATTTTCCAAATTCAACGTTTGAACCTTTTTTTCGATTTTACCATTTCCGAAAACTGATCAGAAAACTTTCATCCATCCTCAGTTTATATCAGTAGACTGAGTTCAATGAACTCTGAAGTGAAATGTTTAAATCACCAACATAAACTGTTACCAATACAAAACATTCATGAAATGCGTTAAGAAATATGAATCAATATACCTACTTTGGAAACAGTCAGTTCCGATGAAACCACTTTCACACCCATCAGGACACATGCCAGTCACGTGATCACATGTGTCAGATGGTGTCTTACAGTGACGGGTCCTGCAGTACTTGCTACATCCTTCTCCATATCTCCCAGGATCACAGGCTGAAAAGAATGATGAGCAATGTGTTTACTTCGCTAAATTCGCTACATTCTTTATCGTTACAAAGGTATATATTTTTGTACTTTCCGAATTCACATTATTTATGATATTTCTTAAGTTTGGATTGACATGAGAGAGGCCACACATTAATAGAAACTTTTCTTCTTTTTGCAAACATAAACGTTTATAAATTCCCTAATTTTCGATATGAGTTGACTGTATAAGGAGACAACAAAACGGAATAAGCCTCGTATTCTCAATCAAAAGTCCTTGATATGAGTCAGTGTCGTCAGCTTAACGAACCAAAGACATGTTGCTTGGATATGGATGCTTGTATGAATTGTAATATATATCTTTCAGTCAGCATTTTATATTTCATTCAAACATTAGCGGTAATCAACTGTAGCTTTTTTACACTGATATCTCGAATCGTGATGTGATAATGCTATTACGAATTAATGGAGCGTTGCTTCACGTCGTGTATCAAAACGTAGCTTTTGACATTTGGACGAATGAGCTATGAAACAAGATGATTTCCGGAAACGAAATATGGAATTGAAATTATGTTCTGTATTGAACACATGTTGTAAGGTATCCACAAACGTGAAACTACTATTACGGCCATATGTTTATATAATGACAATGACCTGAAAATAGAAATCTTGTTGTTGAGTATGTACGATACGAGACGGAACAATTTAAACGTTCAGAGTTGTTATTCTAAGAAATATGTATCTTAAACAGTATATCAAATTTCAAACTGTAACATCTTTTACTGAAATTATTTCGTCAGAAAACTTTGATGTTGTACATAACACATGTTTATATCTATATCAAGTCCAATGGCTAAGAGAACTTAAATCGATTTCTTCATTGGTATGCATAGTTAATGCAATCAACCATTGTCTGTATTATGGGCCTATGGCCTTCTTACTGAATAAACTGTCTGTCTGTCTGTCTCTTAGCTGCAGATATGATTTAATTTATAACATCTGTAATTTAAATTATATCCTTAAACAAACTGCCAATCATTTTGGAACATAATATCATAATTCACGTTAATGGAATTATTTAGAGGTTCCAATATTGTTCGACGTAACGCAGCTGTTTACAGCTCGTCGCAAATTGCTGCGTTTTGGCGATGCTGCAAGCGTAAAATGATTTCATTGATGAAACTTTCACTGCTAAAGAAGCATGATAATCTTTCTCATATGGATATAAAAAGGTGACCATGGCACAATAGGTCATCAGTGAACAGTAAAACGCCCAAGAAGGCGACAACATCGCCCGCTTTACATCGAGGGAGAGCAATTTGTGTTTTGAACTTGGGGACAATAATCAACTGTACGAAGATCATTAGATTCATGCGGCGAGACAGAGTGACTGGAAGGACTGCAGGCAGGTCATGATGTGGAAGGCTACTTCACAACCATGGAAGACTGCTGTCGCCTCACCTTGCACCAAGGTAAACATGTTCCTCAATATAAAATTATCTTATGTGACTGCTCTTGGGCGTACCAGTTGTTTCGTGGTTGTTCAACACCCCACTCAGCCATATTACAGCCATACGACAGCAGTTTGTAAATATTCAAGTCTGGACCAGACAATCCAGTGACTGACATGGTCATGAGCATCGACGAACGTCATAGGGACACGATCACGAAGCAGCATCGACTTCCGCGTTTGCGTCTGGCACGTAGAGTTCCAGTTTGCCAACGTAGGAACTAGCAACGTGCGTTCTTTCTGGATCTGCTGATGTGGCCAGATAATCCGGCGGCGTGCCAATCTCCCAGTAAAAAGAGGTCAGATTGTACAGGCACAGAGAAAGGAATAGGGGACAATTACTGATGGCGTCATGAAACGCCTAACGATCCTTGTCCGACGTCGTGAGTACGCATGCATATCTGGACATAGAGGACAAACACGCTACTGAATCATTGATATTCATTAAATGACAGACATTATCGTGTTTATTCACGCTTCTTCCTGAGTGTTGTTTTGTAAATTCCCCCATGTTTATGAACCGCGATGTTTCCATTTGATTATTGTATATAGCAGCACTTCTATCTCGTCAAATGACTATATTTTCCAAATTCAACGTTTGAACCTTTTTTTCGATTTTACCATTTCCGAAAACTGATCAGAAAACTTTCATCCATCCTCTGTTTATATCAGTGGACTGAGTTCAATGAACTCTGAAGTGAAATGTTTAAATCACCAACATAAACTGTTACCAATACAAAACATTCATGAAATGCGTTAAGAAATATGAATCAATATACCTACTTTGGAAACAGTCAGTTCCGATGAAACCACTTTCACACCCATCAGGACACATGCCAGTCACGTGATCACATGTGTCAGATGGTGTCTTACAGTGACGGGTCCTGCAGTACTTGCTACATCCTTCTCCATATCTCCCAGGATCACAGGCTGAAAGGATGATGAGCAACGTGTTTACTTCGCTAAATTCGCTACATTCTTTATCGTTACAAAGGTATATATTTTTGTACTTTCCGAATTCACATTATTTATGATATTTCTTAAGCTTGGATTGACATGAGAGAGGCCACACATTAATAGAAACTTTTCTTCTTTTTGCAAACATAAACGTTTATAAATTCCCTAATTTTCGATATGAGTTGACTGTATAAGGAGACAACAAAACGGAATAAGCCTCGTATTCTAAATCAAAAGT